GTTATGCCAGCACCATTTGTTAAAGAGACTGTCTTTTCCCCAATTAACAGACTTAGGGCCTTTGTCAAATATCAGCTGCTCATAGGTGGATGAATTTATATCTGGATTCTCAATTCTGTTGCATTAGTCTATGTATCTGTTGTTGTACCAGTACCAGGCTGTTTTGACTACCATGGCAGTATAATAGGTTCTAAAATCAGTAGACCCTTCCATTCTTGTGAGAAGCTGACTCTGAGACTCTTCCCCTTCCTTGGCAGGGAACAGTCTGCATGAAAGACCTGGGCAAAGAGAGCCAAGGTGCAGAATGTCCCTCAGTGCCTGGAACAGAAGCGTCGCCAATTAATGTTTACTGATCGCAAACATTCATACATGCAATACCAGAAAAACCTGCCTCCCTTGCAAGTGGTCTGTGTTTTTTTTCTAGTCCTTCTTGTCCAAACCCAAGCCTATCTACCTTCCTCGTCAGATGAACCTGGAAATAATTAACCCTAAGGGGTTTGCAAAGTATTTGCATTTTAAGAGAAGCAAGTTGGCTACTCATGGTATCCTTTCAAGCATGGGGAATAGTTCGTGGAATAGGTAGGGATCTGATATCATGCCTCAAAAGTCAACACTCCCAATCATTGATCCTGGAAAGGCAAGCAACAGAAAAATCAGTGTTGTCCATTTCATTGGCTGGGCCCTGAGAACTGGTAGGACTTTCATGTTGGGCTGGTAAATATCAGCCTTTATTCAAAAGGCTAGTTTAAGGAGGAAAGCTTTGCCATACAAGGCCTGATTTTTAATTCCTCCTGGCAGGTCGTAAAGGCATTTGTAGTCCTTTCTCCAGCCTACTCCTCTTGTGATCCAGAGGAACTAACCCGGGAACTCCAGGAGCATGTGAAAAGGGTGACGGCTCCATACAAATATCCCAGGAAGGTAAACATCTGGGACTAGTTCTAGGACAACATGTGCTAGGAAATCAAATCAGCAAACTCTACCTAAGCACCTACTCAGGGCCAGGCCCTATGCCAGGCCCTGGGGAGATGGAGATACGTATAATCCTTGCGTTTTCTCCCTATTCCTTCCTGGATCCCCCCTCAAAGTACATTTTATTCTTACTCTAAGAACTGGCCTATAAATTTGGTGGGTGGGGGTGCTGAACTTCTGTTGGAAAGATTGTGTTCTCCAGGCTCTGGCTGTCTTGATTATTATTTGGAGAAAACCATACGTTGTGGAGTCTTTCCAGTGAAGTGGCAGAGGGTAACGATTCTTTCAAGACAAACATCTTTACAGAAATGATGATTTCAGGATTTTCCCTTTTTGGTCACTAGGTGGCCTTTGTTTCAGAACTGCCAAAGACGGTTTCTGGAAAGATCCAAAGGAGTATATTGAGACGTCAAGAGTGGGGAAAATGAGGTGCAACCCCAGAGAGGCCTCTGAAAGTTCCAAGAGGGAATGGTGGGATCACTGGTTGGCCCCTGCTTAAAGAATCATCCTCTTAACCCCTTGGACATCAAGGTTTCAGCTTCCAAATTGGCATCTCAAGAGTCTTTGGATGATCCTGGAAGCAAGCAGAAGAAAATTACTGAACTAGAGTGCATGGCCATATCTAGTCTAGCAAATGCTTGGTGGCTTGACACCTCCTTTGTGTGGAGGCATGCTAGGCATGTGCCCACTGGTCTTACCTACTAAGACCTTCTTGCTCTCCCTTCAAAGGACAGGTCACCTTAACTGCTGGGCACTAGTGATTTTATTCACTGCCACCGACTCACCCACTGCTGTCGAGTCACTTCCAACTCATAGTGACCCCATAGGATTTCCAAGGCTGTAAATCTCTATGGAAGTGGACTGCCACATCTTTTTCCTGCAGAGCCACTGGTAGTTTCAAACTGCCAACCTTTCGGTTAGCAGTCTATCACTTTAACCATTGTGCCACCAGGGCTCCTTTATTCACTGCTAGTGGGAGTATAACAGTTTGGTCCTTTTGACAAAGCCATTCGGTAATATCATCCAGGGTCATACCCTTTAGCTCAGAAATTCCATCTTTGGAAAGCACCACAAAAAAAAGGACTCAAAATGCAGAAAGTGTTTGGGGCACAAAGATTTTCACTGGAACATTGTTTAAAACTGTGAAAAAAAAAAAAAGGGAAATGATTAACTAAATTGTAGTAGATTAACTCAGTAACATTTTATGTGGCCATTAAAAATATTGAAGGGGAATTTATTATCTCTTGGAAAAAGCGTAAGCTATATTAATTTAAAAAATCAGAATAGAAATACTATATACGTTCTGGAGAACCACAACTCTGGAAAATAAGGAAAAACTGTAGCTGGAAAAAAGATTGGAAGGAAATATACTGAAATGTTAGTAGTAATTTTTCTGGGATTGGAGAAGGAGGAAAGATAATTGATAATAGTTTTTTTTTTTTCCTAAGTAAGTATAGATAACAATTTTAATAATTAAAAAAAGACATTTCAAATAAACAATCCTCTCAAACCGCCCTCTGCCTGAAGTCTAGTTCTTCCTCCACCTACCAACACATTGTTCCCAAACGTTGGTGTTTTATGTCTTACTCAGGAAGGACACAGGACTTGAAGCCATGTCCAGGGCCTGAATTTGAAGGGGTGGCTCTGGCCAGCCCTGTGAGGGGAGAAGCTGATGGAAACTGAGGGAGACTCCAAATCTGTTCACCAAGCCCCAGCACCCCCATTCACTCTCAATAAATATTTATTGAGCACCTGCTCTGTGCTGGGCTCTGGGAATAAAATGATGAGCAAAAACCAACCCAATCCTCGCCCTGGTCTCCTCACCCTGGTGGCCCTTGCACTCTATGGGGAGGTTGACATTATTCATCAAAGAATAATACAAATAGATGCATGACTGTGATAAATGCTATGAAGGAAAGAATATGATTATAGATCCAGGGGGGACTGATCAAGGCTGAGGGACTCAGGGTGTCAGGGGAGGCTTCCCTAAGGAAGTCCCACATGAGCTGGGATTGCAGGAAAAGTGGAAGTAAACTAAGGAAAGAGGTAGGGGACAAGCTTTCTGGATGAAGGACGCAGCCTGTGTAGAGGCCTTCAGGTAGGAGGGGAATGTCGATTTGCAGTCATAAAGACAGCTCACACTCACAGAACACCAGCTAAGTCAAAACACAACTCTGAATGTTTAAACTCTCAACCACTCATTTTACAGATGGGGACAGAGAAGTTAAGCGGTTGCTGAAATTGACACAGCTAGTATCTCACAGAGCTACAATTCAAACCTAGGTGAGCCAGCTCCAATGTCCACACACTTCAACCTCACACTACAGGTTCAGGATGGCCTGGTTTAGGAATTTTATCTTTCTCCTATGAGGACTAGGGAGCCACAAACAGTTTTCAGCAGGGAAAAGATCCTCTTAAGGTTTTTCTTAATCCTTTAAGAAAAAACAACCAAACTTGTAAAAGTAATTTCCTGTTCTTTATGCCATGTGTCTTGACGGCATTTCTGGACAGGGCAAATTCTCTCTCTTTTAAAGGTAGAAATTCAGACTTCTGCCTCAACTACTAACCTAAAAGGCTGGTGGTTTGAACCCACCCGGCATCACCATGGAAGAAAGGCCTGGTGATCTGTTTCCGTAAAGATCACAGCCAAGAAAACACTATGGACAGTTCTACTTTGTAACACACAAGGTCGCCATGAGTCAGAATCAACTTGATGGCAACAAATTTGGTTTGGTCCAAGGCCCAACAGGAGGAGGTGGCCAGGGACAAGGAAAGCATGCAGGCCCTGACTTCTCAAAGTCACTGGTGCTCTTGGATTGGGGCATTGTGGTTGTGCATTGGGTGCTTCTGGAATTCCTAATGAGCACCTCAAAATGCCAGGAGCCAGAGCTTTCTCCCCTAAATTCCTCTGATCTCTGAAGTCCACACACATATTTCACACACCCCCATGCAATTACACTTACACACACACAGACACACACATGAACAAACACATGTGCAGAGCCACACACATATGCACTCACACACAGAGCCACACATGCACAACAGCTATATACGCAATCACACAGTCGCATGCACTCACACTCGCACACATTCATACACACACAGGCTGTCACACACACAGCTACACACACACACACATCACACAACTACACTCATTTCATATCAAAATGTTTTGTTTTCTTCATAGCCCTTATTCATTCATTCAACAAATATTCACTGAGTACTTACTATGTGCTAGATGCTGTTCTACATGCTTGAGATAAATCAATGAACAGAACAGGCAAAGCTCTCTGCCTTCATGTAACTTAGACTCTGATGGAAGAAGATAGAGGCAACAAAAAATAAAGATGAGTAAGCATGATGGTTAAGGGTGTGTGTCCACTTGGCTGGGCCATGATTCTCAGTGGTTTGGCAGTTATGACGTAGTTTGGCGAATATGTAATGATGTAGTCACTTCCATAATGAGATCTGATAGAATGTAATCACCTCCCTGACCAGATCTGCTATGAGCAGCAAATCAGTTGAAAGGGAGTTTCCTTGGGGGTGTGGCCTGCATCCAATATGTGTGGACTTTCTGGCAAAGCTCCCTTGTTTTTTGTTTGCTTTGGATTCTACAACTGGCTTCTGATCTGACCTCTGATTCTTGGGAACTGAGCCAGCAGCTTATCTGCCAGTCTTGGGTTCCTCAGCCTGTGCAGCTACATGAGTCAGGAGAAGCCTTCAGCCTGACCCAGGGACTTGGAACTTTCTAGCCTCTACAACCGCGTAAACCATTTTCTGGATATAAGTCTCTCTCTCGGTCTCTCTCTGTCTCTCTCTCTCTCTTGCTCTCTCTCTCTATATATATGTATATATACACGTCTATATGTAGATATATATACATATATATCTATATATATATGCATATATGTGCACGCTTCACTGATTCTGTTTCTCTAGAGAACCGAGCCTAAGACAGTAAGTAATTATACAAAATGTTAGAAGGTGATGAATATTAAGGGAAAAAAATAGTTCCAGGTAAGGGGGGGTGGGCGGGGAGAGGAAAGCCAGGTTGGAAGTGGGTTGCAATTTTAAATAGGTGGTCAAGGCAAGCATCATTGAGAAGGTGGGAAAAATCTTTGGCAATGATTTGAAGGAGGAGAGAAAGATGTCCACGTAGATATCTGGGGTAAGAGTGTTCTGAGAAGAGAGAACAGCAAGCACAAACACCCTGAGGTGGGACGTGCCTTCAAGAGACAGCAAGGAGGCCAGTGTAAGTGATGGGGAGAGGGGTGGGACGCCAAGCCAGAGAGGAAGGGGGAAGGTGTGAAGATCATAAGGCCTTGTATCACATGGCAAAAACTTTGACGTTTATTTGCACAGAATTGGGATCCAGTGGAGGGTTCTGAGCAGAGGCATGGCATGATCTTATCTAACTTAACAGTATCTGAAATGAGCTTCTATATCATTTTATATGTTTATTGTATGCCTCACGTCCAATGGAGAGGCACCTGTGTTGGTCATCTCTGTGTCTATTTCAGAGCAGTACTCAACAAAGATTTGTTGACGAACTGACAGGAACAGGTATTTCCAGACAATATAGCATTCCGTGGCTAAGCTTCAGGAACTTGATTCTAGAAACTCTCAAACCAATTAGGTTTATGGGACCTTTTGCCCCATCTTCCAGGGGGACAAACAGCTTTTTCTTGAGATTCCATTTGTGACCCCTGATTGCTGTATCCAGGGCCACGTCATTCACTCCCCCAATCTATTGCACCAGCGTGATCATCATGAATGACAAATGATGCTCAGACCCTCTGTCCATGCAAAAATTTGAGTCCAAAAAGTCCTTCCAAGTCACCCATTCAAAAGTACAATCACTATGATTTATCGAGTGCTTACTATATGCCATGCATTTGATTTGTTTTTAAATTTTGCTTATATACTTTTTGAATAAATACCATATTGACACATTTCAAAGTGCAAGCAAGCTAGCTTGCCTCTCCAGAAGCAATGGAGGCTGTCTGTTCCTAGTACATCATTCTAGAGCTATTCTAAACATCTTCATGTACTGGGTATTTGACAGGCATTAGCAAGTTCAATCCGCACAGCTACAGGCAGTGGGTGCTGGGATTATCCCTCACTTTCCAGATAAGAAGACTGAGGCTCAGGGTGGGAATAAGGTAACTTCTTCAAGAGCACATAGCCCAGTAGCAGGAGAACCTAGATTCAAACCCAGACAGACTCCAGGTCCTCATTCTACCTTGTGGTCATGGATAAAGAGGTTAGTAACCACTGGAGCTGAAAAACTAGGAAGTATTTGTACAGGACAGAAGAGGTATCCGGGGCCGAAGAGAGCACAAGTCCAGTCTTAGGAGAGAGACGTATAAGGCGCTGACAGCAGCAGTTGACAGGATTGTGTGGGGTGAAACTATACCCCTCCCCC